CCCCTTCCCCTCCCCTCCTCCCTGCCCCACTCCCCAGTCATGCCGTGCTCCAGCCCCTCCTCCACCTCATGGGCGAGTTCCACATCCGCTGTCCCCCTGGACGAGGCCCAGCACGCGCAGGCAGCAAGTGCACGTGGAGGAGAGAAGCCAGGGATGAGGGCAGGAGCTGTGGGCAGGACAGCAGAGCAGCCCTGCCCGTCCCTTCTGAGCGGGGCGTGGGGGAGCGGGGCCGTGGCTTTTGGGAAGCTCCCAGACACCCCAGGCACAGGCAGGGCCCTCGAGCCGCCGCAGTCCCCCCACCCACCTGACAGTGGCCGGCCCGCGGGAGGCGCTGCGCTTGCCCATGTGGGCGGAAAGGGCTAAGACACTGAGTGGACACACTTTATTGTGGGGTCGGGGGTGCAGACTTCCTGCGTGAGGCCAGCCGGAGCCGGGCAGCAGCCTGAGGTGGCCGAGGAGCAGGCACTGGCAGATGACCATCGCCGCAGCCTCGAGCACGTCCTTATTGAGAGACTTGCACCCTCGGGCTCCCGTCCTCCAGACAGGCTGCCTGACAGGGAACTGGCAGGGGGGAGGCGGTGAGGGGCCTACACAGAGGCCCAGACCCAGCCAGCGGCCCCTCGTGGCGGTGCACCCGGAGTGGAGCCCTGCCCTGGGTGACCAGCGCCCCGGGAAGGGACGCTCAGGTCTGCTCTGTGCTCACACGCGTGGGGTACGTGGCAGGAACAATGTCAGCTGGGCTGCTCTTCAGACACGGGCCTCACAGCCCCCAGCCCCGGCCCTGAGGTCCCCAAGCCGAGCTAGCTGTGACCAGACCTGGGGTGTACCTCACAGTGGGGCCCGTTATCAAAGCCTCATTTCACAGAGGGAGAAACTGAGGTGACAGCATGTGTCAGAGCTCAGAGAAGAAGGGCTTTGGGGACACAGCCCAAAGACAGGGGTCGGCCAGCCCTCCACCCCCGCCAAGGACAGGCTCCGAGGGTGGGCAGGTAACACCTGCCCTTCCCCCACCCACCTGCCACCCACAGCCACCCCAGGGGAGGGGAAGGGGAGGGGAGGGAGGAGGGGAGGGG